TTTTTTTTTCATGTTCATAGAAACAAAAATGATGAAAAAGTTTTAAAAAACCCATCTTTTTCATATTGTTTTCATTTCTGTTTCAAAACAATTTTCGAAAATTTAAGAAAATTATTTTGATTACTTTCTGAAATTTTAAAAGAAAAAATAAATGATCAACCGTTGAACAATGCCTCATCATGAAAGTTTAACCAGATCATGCACCCACAAAAACAATAGGAAAATTTTAGCTGATGAGTGGTTGGGGCCCCATTCACTAGTCCTGAAGTCTAGCCCATTAGGCCCAGACTTTCTCATGGGTTAAGTACGGCCCTTTGGGTCGAGGACACACAGATGGATCAAAAAAGTAGTGACCCATATCTATATATATATATATATTTTTTTTACTTTTTCTTTGATAAATTACACTGACACCCCTTCAGATTTCTGTTTAATATAGATTTCTCCTCACTTTTAAAAAATTACACTTACCCTATGTCAAATTAAAATGACATATTTGTCCCTTAGCTTTTCTACATATAAAATAATAAAATAATACTAATATTTTGTTCATGTAATCTCAAAATAAATAATAATCATTTTCTTTGGTTTAACTCACACCAAAAATTGAATTTCTTTATTTTTCATTTTTTTACTGAATTTTTTTAAAAATTTTAAATAATTTTTTTACATTTTAGATATACCTAATCTAGATATACTTAAGAAGTATAATATTTTGTGTATTTTTTTTTTAAATTCACCAAATAAAAAAATATAAAAATTCAATAATACTGTAATAAATATAAATGACGGTGTTAGGTAATAATGTAATAAATGTGGGTGAATAGATGATAAAGAAAAATGATGGTGGAAAGAAAAATGAAAATTTCTATTCATATATAAAAATTTATACAAAAAATATCATAAAAATATTGTAATAGTGATATTGTAATTATAAATCATGTTTATGGGTATTCTGTTTTAAAATGAAAGGTCACCATTAAGCTATATTATTATGTTTGAAAATTTTATATAAAATTTATGTTTGTATATTATCACTCAATAAGAATATGTTCATGAAAGATTTAATGATGAAAAGTTGTAGAATGTAATCATAATAATAGGGAAAAGAAATGGTAAGAAAAATGGCAAAATGATCATTTAAAAAATTTTAAGACATAACATCAACTATCCAGGGAATAATTTGTAATGAAATTACAAATCTCCAAGAGAGGAATGTAATTTTTTTAACAAAATAGAAGTATCTGTATTAAACAGAAACCTCAGAGGATGTCAGTGTAATTTACCTTTTTCTTTTTCGTAAAATAATTATCAACAGGTGCTATGGACCGGATTTATTTACTTATAAATTCTGATTATCTTTTTATTTTTTACTTATTTTCCCTTCATTTTAAATGAATTTTTTTAAAAATCTTTTAAATGTATGTTTTGTGTTTGTGAAATAATCATTTGTTATTAGTAACGATACTGAGAAATTTATCGAAATGATGAATGATTGGAATATTTTAATTTTTGTTTGTCAATTTTGATTTATTTCTAATTTAGTTTGTATTGAAATATGATGTGGAAAGGGTAAATAGTTGAATTGTATTTTTTAAAGAAATTTTTATAATGATAAATTTATCATAGAAATTATTTGTAACATCATCTCAAAAAAGTTGACAATCGGAATATAAAAAATTATTTAAATATAGCTACTAACAAAGTAAAAAATAAATAATATATTTTTTAAAACACATTTATCGTTTATTTTTTTAGAGACAAATTATCGAATAAATTTAATTTTTTTCATTTTATAAATGAACAAAATGCTCTATAAAATGAACGGTCTTGAACACCTCTAATCCAAATTTGGACCTGAAGCAAGTCCAATCTTTATTTTATTTTGTATTTTTATACAGAGATTTTCAAATAACATATAAAGGTGTTTTATAGTGAAATTTTGTTCATTACCAAATATTAAAAATACCAAAAATATTTTTGTAAATAAATATTTTATGTTGAAACAAATAAAACATTAATCATTAATTTACTATTCGAGTGTTCCAAATTCATTTTCAAAACCAACAAAACTATGACATCCTTGTTTGTTGGCTATTTGGCTTTCGAAGGTTACTTTTGTAATTATGAGCATGCCAGTAAGGATCAATCAGTCCTTACAGAATTATAATTGCCAAACAATTATTCAGACGATTGTGTTATGGTTCTTTTGGCCTCAATAAAGAGGACTTTTACTGGTGGCTTACTGGTAATTTGACTTCAGAGAACGTGAGCATAAGAACAGTTAAATAAGCTGAAGCATTTCATTAGTATGAAAAACTTACAATGATCTTAGTTCCGTAGAGAATTACAGCGGCAATATACTCGAAAACTACTCCTACAAATGAAGTGCAGCGCACGAACTTAAAGTACAGAAATATAAAGGACAGGAAATAACACTAGAATATGTAAAGTAATTCTTTAGATCTTTCTTCCTTTCCTTCTCTGAAGTCCTTCCTGCTATTTATACTTTCCGAAGATAACCATCGAATTGTACTTCAAACCGTCGAACTGCTCCTCCGTAATCGCTGATCATGCTACCTTATAAGTAGTTCCACTACGCCTTCACTTGCAGTTAGGCTTCCCCCCTATATTCGAATTTGAATGTGAGCAACTGTTGAAGCCACGTCACCGTACGTCTCTTTGTTGATCCGCTACTACTCAGATCTTATAACAACCAATATTGACTGCCACGTGTATGATCAGGATCGAAGACCTACCTGGTCTACCCATATTACCCTTACTTTGCCACGCGTCGAATTGTCACTGGCTAGCACAAAATGTGTAGCCAACATTACCCCCCGCACTAATATACCCAAGACTTGGTGATATTAGTGGATCAGAGTCCCTTTTCCCACGCCTTAGAACGTGCATGGGTTTTGCATCTTCCCAGAAATGCAACTGTCACACACCATCTGTATTAATACTCTCGTCTTGATCCTTTTAATTATATATTTTTAAAATTCATTGTTAGAGAAAGGCTATAAGATACATCCTTACAAGAAATAATACTTTTCGTAATTTTACTATATTGATTCGTGATAAAATTAAAATGATGCATAACTTTTCTTATTATAACAGTTTGTAATATTTTAATATTTATATATAGTCACAATGGTTCATAATGGAAAAAAAAAATTATGATGCTGAAAAATCTAGAAATCCCCCATAGATATTGATTTGTGATAATGTAACAATTTTATGCAATATATAACAATCCCAATCAAACAATCAAGACAAAGAGACACAACGATTTTAACGTAGAAAAAATCACAATTGGACACCTCCAACTGTGATTAAAAAACCACGGGCAACAGCCACAAAACAATCCACTAAGAAGATTTAAAGGAATTACACAGGTATACTCTCAATTACCTAGCGAATCCACGCCTAATTGAACCAACCTCTATGTGCCTCTTCCAACCCGTCTTCATCTCGGAATTGTCTTTACGATGAGCCACCCCGGAATCCACCAAAGATTCAAGCTCGAATTCTTCAGAATCCACCGAAGAACAACTCTCTCTTTTGTAGAACTTGTAGAACAAACAAAACCTTTGATGTATACTCTTTAAAACATGAGTTGAATACCTAATCAAAATATCAAAGAAAACTCACAAAGTATCCCCAGATATAAACCCTAGAACCCAAAAAGAAGATCTGGAATAGTAATCCTAAAATCTGAACCAACACGCGAATTTATAGATCTGTCCCGCGATCTCCGCTCGAGCGCCCAACAGCCCGCTCGAGCGGCTTCAGCAAAATATGCGCGTGATATAACAGAGGTCCGCTCGAGCGCTGGAGATCCCGCTCGAGGGCGAAATCACACCTTCCAGTATTTTTACAGACCTGACAAACTTCTGAAACCCAACATTCTCCGCTCGAACGGGGTCATGTCCGCTCGAGCGGACAGACAACTTGGAATGCATTTTTACATTTTGCTTCGGGGGCGCTGCCCCTCGACCCCGCCGTGGCGCTGCCCCCGACACGCCAAGGGGTGATGCCCCCTCGACCCCCGCGAGCTAACCGGGCAGCTCGATCCCCATCATAATCAGAGAAGTGGCAATCTTGAAAGCATTGGCATCACAAACTTCTCTGAAAGGCACAATTCAGATTGGATTCCCATCTAAACACTCATAGCCTCATTGAAATAAAAGTGCGAAAATAAATACAACTGAAATGAGTTTTGTCAAACGGGGTTGCCAAGAATAAAACCTAACAGATGCGTCCTTAATATAATCACAATTGTTCATAACTAATATCGCAAAAAAAATTAATTTTTTTTTTATAATAAGAGAGGAGAGTGTGTTCCATAGTCTTTCATTGTTACTATGTTCTTATATCATTGAGTATTTCTTGTTTTCGTTTTAAGATTTGCACTATTCACTACTACATGAAATCTTTTATTTTTCATCGATTTTGTCTGGAACATACATTACTATATCACTAGGGTAAATCCATACCCCTATTTAATGGGCCCCCTCCCTCAAAAGTCTGGTTCCGTCCCTGCTTACAGACACTAATCATATATCACTAATTATTGTCTTGCCGCTCAGTATAATAAATATTTTAAATATTATAATACATTTAACTTTTTATGTTGTTGTGCCATCAAATTGTGACATCATAAGCATACATTAATTAGCGGAAAACATAATGGGAAAAAAATAAATTAAAATATTACATGCTTGTAAGGAAAGAGAAATGCAAAATAAATAAATCATTCACTAAATTAATGAAAATGATAAATTTCATTTTTCTTTCTTTTTCTAAGAAAATAGCATATTATCGAAGAGTCTTACTAGAGATCCCAAAATATCATCCTTAGATTTACCTATAATGCCTTGGTAATGGATTGTGTCATAAAAGTTTGATTCTTGTACAAATTAGCATTTGACATGCAATAGTGCACATCATTTAAAATAATATCAGAGGTGAGAATTTACAACTCTTTCTTTTGTTAACAACAAAAGCTATGTATAATAAGATTTATCCCATACATTCGTGATATCACGTCATCTATAATGAAGCAACATAATTGTTTGAAGATAATCACTTAGAAGAGTTGTAATAAAATAGAATTGTTGAAATGAACAATAGACCTTTATTTGAATTAATGACAATCACAAACTTAGGAGCCTTAAAATTTTAGCCTAGATTCAGCGAACTTTTGTTCGCCGATTTGGACTAGGCGCTTGACCATCTCATCTGTCAAATAATTTTTCTAATCTCCGACCTCACCACATCGAAAGAAGGCTTTATTCTCCTCCCCTGATGACAACTTTTCATTCTTGTTCACCTCCAAACTACTCAAATGATCAAAACTACACAACCTTGACATCTCATCCACCACCCCTAATGTCTCTTCCTCTAGAGAAAACGGGCAGCCCATGAATTCAGCTAATCTCTTTAGATGGATAGTGGGTTCTTCTTTCATCTCCTCATACTTTAAAAAAAGTACTTTTTGATGTTTCTCCAAGCTCTCCTTCCAATAACCCAACACATGATCCCAAAAGGGTCCATATAGGCACACTCCCTTACAAAACATATCAAATACATCTTCAAGTATATTGGGTCCAAGGCTAGGAGGTCTAAGCTTGTTTGTGAAGTGATGAAGTGAAACAAAAGTGTCCATGGGGTTCCTGCATAGATAGACAAGCTTGCTTGCCGAACATGTCACATATTTAGGCAAGGATGAGAATGGTAAATGGGTTGCAAATAGCCTCGGAGAAGTGAAAGAGGTGAGATCAGGGACTTGTTTGTCAACATGGAGCTTGAGTTCCAAGAAAGGGACAAGATCATTCGGATTGTCTGCAAACAATGGGTGTCGGTTCATGTCAGGATAACGTGTCCGGTTCTTTATTGCGAACAGGATTGCCTTCAGCCAGGTGGTGTCGGATTTAGGCGTAGTAACGAGGAGGATATCGGTGTCTTGAGCTTGAAAGTGTTGTTGACATGCAATTACTCCTTGCAATTGCCTAGATGGGTGCCAAAAACCTTGGTATTGATATAAATGAGAGACAACCTACCCTTTTTCTCTGGGTAGGCAAGACAATAGTTCCTTACATTCTTGGGTTAAATCATCTTCTTGCAAGTACTTGGGAGGAAAAAAAGGAGGTTGAGATGTTGCCATGGATGGAGAAGAAATTTTGGATTCTAACCCTTTTTTTGTGATGTCCAAGCATTATGCACAAGTATATATATAGCTAATTGGCATGAGATTCTCTATTCTTAAAATCTCTATCTCCTATCTCCAATATGATACGAACTCTTAAAATATAACATTTTATAAAGTCAAGACATAAACATACAACTAGAAGTGCATTTGCAATAGGAGAACAAGATTTTAAGATCAGAAATGTTGTGTATTAAAACAAACACCAAGAAAAGAATCTAGAATTTAAATATATAACATATATATTTACACTTAATGGTGTGGATCATACTCAAATTAAATTAAAATTTCACATTTTAAAATTCTTCGCACTTTATAAAATATTTTAATGAATGCATAACATTGCTATTTTAGACATAGAAACCCTAGCCTAGCTCAACCTCACCTGCTGCCACCAAATGAAAAAGAAATATATTTATTGAGAATATCACTACGCCAAAATTGGGTTTTAGCGGTGGTTTTTTACCGCCGTTAAAGGATATAAAACCGCTGTTAAAGCCTTTAACAGCGGTAATTTAGGACCGCTGTTTATACTCGTGTCGGAAAAGGTAAACCGTCGTAAAAGCGTAAATTATCGTTGTTAAAAGTCGACCAAAAACGGCGGTTCTTTACCGCCGTAAATAGATTCAAATTTTTAAAAAAGTAATTCTCTCTTCTTGCACTCCCAGGTCTCGAACCCTTGACCTCTAATCCAAGCACGCCAACCACTCTACCACAACCACTCTATATGAAATAAATTCCCTAAATAAATATTTAAACATTACTTTTACTTTATTGTAGATGGTCACGTTCAACCTCTGGCCACGCATGGTCACCACTCGTTGGAGTTCTGCCGGATCTCTGCCGGCAAAGGCCGCCGTCATTAACGGCAGTAATGAGAGGGCTTTAGCGGCGGTTTTGTTACCGCCGTTAAAAGAGGACTTTAGTGACAGTTTTTTTAACGGTGGTTTCATTACCGCCGTTAAAAGAGGACTTTAGTGGCAGTTTTTTTAACGGTGGTTTCATTACCGCCGTTAAAGATACTTTAGCGGCGATTTTTTTAACGGCGGTAACGAAACCGCCGTTAAAGATATATTAACAGTTGTATTAACAGCGATTTCTTTATCGCCATTAATAGTATCTTTAACGGCGGTAACGAAAACCGTCGTTAAAAAAATCACCGTTAATGCCCTGTTTTGGCGTAGTGTATATATATATATATATACAAATTGGAAGACCAAATCTCATGTAAAAAGCATGGAGATTTTGTTGAGTCCTTATCTATCTACCCTCTTTGTCCTCAAGCTCACTCAACCACTATGCTCAAATTGATTCTCATGAAACACATTATTATAATTAGAGCAGTGTAAAATATAATTTAATTCGTTATAATTGTATTGATTTGCACCGACCTATCTGCCAACCATGGATTATACTTTGAAATTTATTTACTTATAAATTTTGATTTCCTTTTTTCTTTAAACTTATTTTCCCTTCGTTTTAAATGAAATTTTTTAAAGATCTTTTAGATGTATGTTTTGTATTTGTGAAATGATCATTTGTTATTAGTAATGATACTGAGAAATTTATCGAAGTGATAAATGATTGGAATATTTTAATTTTTGTTTGTGAATTTCAATTTATTTTTAATTTATTCTTGTTAATTTGTATTGAAATATGATGTGGAAAGTGTAAGTAGTTGAATTGTATTTTTTAAAGAAATTTGTGTAATGATAAATTTATCATAGAAATTATTTGTGACATCATCTCAAAAAAGTTGACTATCGGAATATAAAAAATTATTTAAATATAGCTATTAACAAAGTAAAAAATAAATAATTTTTTTTTAAAACACATTTATCGTTCATTTTTTTTAGAGACAAACGCAATAAAATAAAAAAGTTAAGATTATCGGATAAATTTATATATTTTTTTTATAAATGAACACAATGCTATATGAAATAAACCGTTCTGAACACACCTCTAATCCAAATTTGGACCCAAGCAAGCCCAATCTTTATTTTAAATTGTGTTTTTATACAGAGATTTTCAAATAACTGTAAAGGTGTTTTTTATAGTAAAATTTTGTTAATTACCAAATACAAAAATACCAAATTATTTGTTAAAATAATTTTTATTCACACGAAATTAAATAACTCCTGCAATATATAGTTATAAATTTACTATATGATCACAACCAATAGAAAGCAATATACATGAAGGGTGTAACTCCGCATGCAAATATAACCAACACTTTAGTAATCTTTATACATATTATAAAACTACTAGTAATTACATTAATTTGCATTCAATAATGATTGGCATCTACCTCTTATATTGGGATTTTCCACAAAATTTCATATTATAAAAATATAGATTTTCTTGTATTCATCTTCATTTTCAATAAAACATTTAATATTGTTTTCATAAATTTAAAATGTCCTTGTATTTTTTATCTAATCATATTCTTGTTTAAATATTTCATTGTACATATATGCTCACGAACAAACAAAAATTAAATGAAAATTCCAAGGTGGCAGCCGCTAAGCCCCCCTAGTCCCCATAGCTCTCACCACGGTATACATACTATATATATAACTAGTCTACCCTTGGGCCATCGAGATTCTCTATTTTTAAAATCTCAATCTTCTATCTGCAATATGATACGAAATCTAAAAATATAATATTCTCGAAAGTCAAGATATAAACATACAATTAGAAGTGCATTTGAAATAAGATTTCAAGATCAGAGATGTTGTCTATTAAAATAAACACCAAAAAAAAAATCTAGAATTTAAATATATAATATATATTTACACTTAGTGGGTGTTTGGGAAGTGAGTTTTTATGTAGATTTTTTTAGTTGTAGAATATTATTAGAGAAAAAAATTTTGGTGTTTGAAAAGATTAGTTGGATTTTTTTGTAGTTTGATGTGATGTTTGTAAGAGAAAAAGTGAAATGATTATAGGGTTAGATGTTATATTTTATTTGGATGTGTTTTTTTTAGTTTTGCAAAAAATTTGTCTTTTAGTGAAAAAAATCCAAACCCAAAACTTGCCAAACACCGCCTTAATGGTGTGGATCACACCCAAATTAAATTAAATTAAATTTTCACATTTTAAAACTCTTGACACTTTATAAAATATTTTAATGAATGCATAACATTGCTATTTTTTGAGAGAAACCCTAGCCTAGCTCAATCTCTCCTGCTGCCACCAAATAAAAAAGAAATATATTTATTGGGAAAAAAAAGTCTATAAATTGGAAGACCAAATTTTTTAGGCAGATTATATACATACGTATAACTGTTTCAATTTAATTTGTAAAAAATTATTTCTAACCACTCGAAAAATAAAAATTATACAAAAATGATAGTTATTTTTTATTTTTTATTTCTTAACCAAATTAATTTTAATTTTTTTAAAAAAAAATTCTAAAAATCAAAGCATACATAGCCTAAGAATCTTTTGATAAATCATTTTTTACGTTGGTAACTTATTTAATTATTTCTTAATTTTACGACATTTTTACCATCTGAAACCTATTTGGTAACCATTTCATTTTCAGTTTTTTATTTATATTTACAAAAATTTTAAAAACTGTCATAAAAACTTGTCTGATAATTTTTTTGGTTTATAAATGGTTGCCTTAGTTTGTAAATTTGAAAGAAAAACGTAAATTCAAAAAATAAACTTATGTTGGTTTTTAAACAGAAATTTAAAAATTTTACTAACAAAAATTTTTTTCAATTAATTTTTTTCCAATTAATTTTTTTTTCCAACTAATACTAATCAAGTGCGCAATTGGTAATGCTACTTTAAATCTTAAGGAGGGGATTGTAATTTCTAAAATGTGGAGGGTGTCAACGTAATTTATTCAGTGAGGGCAAAATTGATATTTAAAAAATTAAATTACTGAGGAGAAAATCTGTAATGAAACTTTAAACCTCAAGAGGGGAGATATAATTTTCAAAAGGTGAGAGGAAGAACTATAATAAACATAAACCTCAGGAGGTGTCGGTATAATTTACCCTAAAAAATATTGTGTAAATTAGTATTATATATTACATGCTTGATAATTGTTTAAGAATATTTTCAATTAACTAGCAAATGAAAACTATCCTAAACCGCTCAAATCATGAATTGATTATTTATCAATCCACCACCTGCCACTCAATTTCTCTTTTAGCCTCAAACCGCACCAAGCATGTAATAGTAGTATTGAAAGCTCAGTCATACTAATCTAATGAAAATTTTCAATTATTGTTCAATTGATTATGCAAATTTAATTATAAGGTTGGTTCGTGTTGACAAAAAGTAGGAGCACAGACAATAATACAATTGCCTACTCAAGATTGTTTTTGAGCTCTTCTTGTCTAGGCGTCAAACAGTTGCCATTTCTCTTTTTTGGGAGTAAAAATAATTCGAAAATATTTTTTTAATTTTTATTTTCATCACAATAGTTTCAATTTTAAAAAATAAATAAAATTCCAAACCTTAAAACCAAATAAGATATGTATAAGAACTTGACCAATAAGGTTCATAGGCCGCGTATGACTCGTCATATCAAAATTTGAACCTTCATTATACAATCATCAAGATCTCTAAACTATTGAATAACACAGTACTGCTCATCTATGAACCCATACATTTTACCCACTCAATTATAAAATTAAAAATAAAAATAAAAATTTAAAAAAAAAAACATACAAATGACTACCCTTTTTGCTAAGGGTGGAAATGATGAATTTTTGTAGTTAAAGAGGTCAAAATATAAAAGTTCATGGATGAGGTAATTTGATATTAAGTAACAGTTGAGGACGTCTTCATGTAATTAACTCTTTATTATTCATTCCTAACGATAACGTTGAAGTTTTTGTTTCCTATTCTCAAAAAAAAAAAAAAAAAAAAAATTATTGCACCACTAAGGATATTGGCAAAAAATTCACTTAAAGCTTGATGTTTCCAATAACAGAACCACACATAAAGTCTTCATAAAAACATTTCAAAAATTTCATACGAGGAGTAAAAACAAAAACAGATATGAAAAATCAATCTCCCATACCATTCAGTAGACCAACGTGCATGGCATCTGAGGTTTCTGGCTGATATACCAAGAGAACTCTTTCCTCAATTTGTTTCCAGATGAGAAAAGCTGGAAAAAAATGACAGAAAGAAAGAAAGAAAAGGAAGAGCAGGTAAATACAGGGGCATAGTAATATTGAACAAGAAACTCGAAAAGATCTTTGAGGGAATGTGGTCTTTACTTCGTCATTCAAGGTCAGACAACCCCAGCAAAGAGTAACTGGGAACATCCGATCCAAGCAACGGAATACACTCCGATCCTCTCACATGGACACTAAAACAAGCTGCATAAATACACAAATTAGACCCCAAAAGAATTTTTTTTTTTTAAAGGATTCACTAAAAGTAAATCGTGAAATTATGAAGCAAGACAGTTGCCTATTACATTTTAGTGTGAAAGCAGATCAAACCAGAATCTAGTGATATATTTAACAGGAAAAAAGAGAAGCTTCCAAATGATATGAAAACAGTTTCTGTTAGAAAAGTAAAAGAGCTTTTGTTTCGTTCAATGTTCTTGAAATCTATTTTCAGGAAATTAAGTTTTTTTCGTTTTTTAAATCCACTTTTTCCTAAAACAAAAAAAAAAATGATGTTTTATGTTCTCCGAATATGGTTTTCCTATCAGAAATATAACAATGACTGTCAATCTTATTAAATTATCAGAAATTATTCTTTCTTACTTTTGTCTTGTTTATTTTCAAGGATAAGTGTGCATATCTGACAGTTATCATAATAGTAGTTTTGCGTATTGAAGCATGAAGCTCAATACATACAAGAGACACTTCATTGAGTTTGAATTATCGGAACAGAATAACTGCCAATAACATGCGTACCATTTTCTATTTTGACTACGCTTTGTAGCATAGTATCCATCTTTGTTTTCATCTCATTACTATCATCCATATCTGGGGCAAGAAGGGTCAGCTGTCTGTGAATTTCACGTACAAACCTGCATATCTTCTCAGCATACTCAAGTTCACCATCTGATATCCGACCAATTGCCATCCTCATCAGCTCTCCTGTCAAGTCTGCAAGCTAAACTAGAACAGTAAACAGTTAGCACACTTCTAATTCTAATACATATGAACACATATATGATATCATAAAAGAAAAGAAAAAAGAACACATATGATATCATAAAAGAAAAGAAAAAACAAGTTTTAGACTCTTTACTCTTATATTCTAGTAAATCCTGAGAAGCACTGATACTCCAAGAGAGGGGTCATGTCCATGTCCAACACAAGTGTCCACGTGTCTGACACACCATGTGGCTTGTCAATTTTTTTAATTACTAGTTTTTTGTAGGACACGTCGGTAACACTTCATAGACACGCATGTCCAATGTTTGGACACGTCTCAGGACACTTTTGTAGGTTTTTTCTTTATATTTTGGAGTCACCCACATATACACCAATGCCTCTATTTATTTTAGAAAGTAAAATATATTGAAATAAAGAGGGAAAAAGTAGAAAATGAAAAAAAAAAAAAAAAAAACCCACATATACATTAATGCCTCTCATATTTATGTAACCTAAATTTATATTCATCTACATAGTAAATAAATAAATAAATAAAATTTCCATGTCCATGTCCTAATTTTTCATAATTTGTTGTGTCCCTTGCCCATGTCCGTGCTGCTTAGAGTAAATCAAAATGGAGGAAGAAGGGGGACAGTGCAGAACTATAATTTAATAGTATACATAAGTCAATTTGACTTATTTTTATTATCAAAGAAGAATCTCTGCTCTTTCATGCACAAATAGATGGCTAAGCGCTATTTATTATATTCAGAGGATGGATATTACCACTTCTATTTTGATTTGAATAACAAAAATAATTAAATGGCACAAGATTGAGGAAATTACCCCCAAGAGATAGTCAAGGACATTAATCTGCAATGGGTCCAGAGAAGGATCACTCAATGGTAAGAGGATACCATTAATCTCACCAAGATTCAAAAGAGTCCCAGTTTTGCAGAATTTGAAAAGTGTCGCTGCTTCAACATACTCTTGTACCTGCAAATATACAAAGGCCCAAAATGATTCAACTTTGGCATCTTTTTCATAGCCTTAGCAGGTAAGAAAGGCACAAAGGCAGAACCCCGGGAGAGTATGCTCGTCTTAGCTTCCAAAAATCAGTTCCCCCAAGTTCTTTTACTAGCCGGGCCACATATTGATCTGTCACAGCTGCCAGATCTTTTTCTGCCTTCTCAAGAACCTCCTCTTTGTTATGTTTACTCATTCTGTTGTAGGAAAATAAAGTTGCAACATCAGCACTGTAGCAAACCATTTTATTTCAGTTAGAAACTTTGAACAAGATCATTACATTGAAGTTCATAAATTTATATATAGGATTAAACAAAGCCAGAAAGTGAAAAGGTTATAACTCCAGACGACACAAAAAAAACAAAATAAACACATAATTTTCATTTGTAATGACAAAAATTATTATTAGAACAGGTATTGTATTGCCCATCCCGAACTTAAAAGAATAGAGAAGAGGAGAACATATCATATCAAACTGACTCATTGAATAGTTGCGAAATTAAAGCCAAGAAGTACGCCATTAACCATGTGGAAGACCTTAAAAAGGACATTTAAATCAACTGCCAGTAAAGAGGAAAGGTGTAGTGATAAAGGACAATGGAAAATGTATAAGCAGGGAACAACATCTTGTTACCTGTGCACCTGGAATATGACCTTTTTGCTATTGATGGTGATATCCCGACTTGCTTTTACCACCCTTTCCCGTTTATCATTCTGCGAGATAAATTGATAAATAGATAATAAATCTAAAAACAATAATTTAAATGAATGTCGAGGTGGATGGATGGTGTAATAGCAATAACTTCAACTTTCAGCTCAAAAAATATTGCAAAAAAACATCAATATTACAAATAACCGTATCTGCCTTATGCATTGTCTAACTCAAAGGAGTATTAAAGAAGTGAATCATGCATACAAGTTCTTTTGTTTGGTCATTTTCACATACATTACTATCACCTATCATCTAGAAGGACTTTTGATGATTGATAATGTCGAATGGCAAGGACTTACCAAAATGTTTGTCCACAAGCCTTGCTACATTCAACATACATGCATAATGTGCTCGCCCGTCTTATGCATGGCAAGACAGTGTACATCTAGTACTGCATGTATTGGATTCCCCCTAGACCCACATTAGCAATAGCATGCTTTGGATCAGCTGGATGATCAGTCTGTCAGTGCAAGTTAAGTGGAAAACCAATACTCTCGATGAATACAGACAGCACCACTATTAAAGCAAGCTTAAAGTACAAAACCTTTTTAGCAAACCTAATTATCTAAGCACGCATTTGAGCATCATTCAAGGATCAAAGTTTCGTTTTGATTTGTCATGTAGAGGTCAACTTGGAAGCATATACATTCCAAAAACATGAGAGAAATCCCAAATATTTTTGGAAACACACAAAAGTGTAAAACTAAAACCTATTTAGATGTATATAAAGAAAACATGTCTTGAGGTTTACTCACACATTCACATATAGAACACAAGTGTGCAATAGGGTAGAAAACGTCAATATGAACCAAGAAGAATTAAATTAAAGTCAAGGAAATCAATATTGTCAAATGAAAGTATGTATGATTTTGAATGTGCATAAGGTTTGATCAAATGAGGTATATAAATATATCAATAATGACAACAGACACAATAATTAATATTAACAATAAACAAATGTCAAAGCAATTCCAAGGAGTGTGCAAGTCCTTTTGGTAACAAGATTAAAACGGCCTTTTTAACAGGCTAAGAATAAAGTTCAACAAAGATCAATGAATATTGAAAGATAATAAACAAATGATTCAAAGTGTTGGGATAGGTAGCGGGGTTTGCTATTGTAAGAGAAAAATAAGAAACACAAGATTCTAATAGCAACAGGAAGAAAAAGAAGAAGAAAAAAAAAAAAAGGTATGTGTAATAAAAATATAAGAGAATAAGTGGTTTGACTATAACGCCTTTCTCTTCCTTTATTTCGCCTCTTCTCCATTCTACTTCTTCATATTATCAATCAAATTTTATATGTTTTCTTGGTACTCAAATACTTTTTTCCATAACAAAAAGAGGAAAACAAACAACTTTTGTTCGGATTTCTTGATAGGTATTGATACAAATCATGAGGCTGGTTTGTTTTGTAGTGTTTCAACGAATTTCAACGTAAAATTTTGGTTTATTACTAATGCCTCATGTCAATTTCCTGAGACTATAAATTTTTTGGCCATGGAAACTAAACAAAATTTTATTGTTTGAACTATCAACCTTATCTGAATCCACACCTAAAGGTTCTAAGTTTCATACGATCAATCACTAATAAAACATCCTCAACTCCACGCTACTTAAACCCAAAGATCAAATTTGACAATCCCAAACCAATAATCTAACATGTATGACTTTTTAATGGGAACCTCACACTCCATCCAAAACTAAACAAACTAAGCCTTAAGTCCCATCAGATAGAGTCAAATACAAGAATCATTTTTCTCCACTCGACTCTATCAAAGGCCATTTAGTTATCGATCTAAAACTATTTTACTAAATTTATTTAGAATCATTTCCTACTCAAATTCAATTTTCCACACCTAAGGAATTAGTTAATATTTATTAAAGAGGCATAGCAACACGTCAAGAGTAAATACAATAATTTTTTGGCAAATAGTCATTTAGTGCAACCAAGAAAGCAAATTTAGGCTCCGTTTGGCAAGATACTTAGAAGCCAAAAAGCTAAAAAAAAATAATAATAATAATAACTAGAAAATCTCAAAATAAATAAATAACTCATACAAAAAAAAAGTCAAAGATTCCTTCTCGTTTACACTACTTTTGCATGTATTCGTAAGAAACCAAAAAGTTTTTCTCAAAATATTGGGTTTTTTTTTGGCAAACATTTTAGTCAAAAAGCCAAAAAAAAGTCAGCTAAGAAAACCAATTCCCAAGCCCATTGAATGCAAATGAACATTGCTTTTGCTACACTGTTTTCGCAATCAAGTCAATGCACAAGATTCTTCATCATTGAATAGAAACAGGTACAACAATGAGATAACATGCAAGCAAATCTATCAATGCCCATTGTTAGTGTCTCATATATGCAAACACTACACCCCAAAAAATAAAAAATAAATAAAATCAGCATATCCAACACTTAGAAATCCAAATAGAAAAAACCCAATTAAGCCCCACTGAGATAGAACAAAATCACTGAATACTTAAAAAATAAATAAATAAATAAAAATTGGGGGTGAAAGTGAGGAAGCTAACGAGTTCATTGAGGCAGTCTGCGTATTTGGCGAAAGCGTCCCTCATGGAGGATTCAGCAGTGGTCGTGATCGTCCTCGGCCTCTTTGTAGCGCTCTGCAGAGTCGTCTCTGCAACTGCCAACATATATGTATTCGATTCGAGAGTGTGAATGTAAGTGATTAGAATGTGCACAGAATAGAGTATCACAGTCAGTAAATTTGCAGTGACAATTTCACAGAAATAAGGAGGAAAAAATGAGAGAGACAGACCAAGGGTGTGCTAGGGTTTCATTCAGTTATATATGTCTTTATATTTATGTAGAGAGAGAGAGAGAGAGAGAGAGAGAGAGTACCTCGATTGAGGCGCTGAGGTTTTGGTGCCATGAGAAAGAACTTGTGGAATGCGGAGGAGGCGTAGAACATCTGTCAGTCTTGCCTGCCTAATTCAGACGCTGAAGCACCCACCACCTTCCCGGATTTTATCTAACAATTTTCTTTTTTTTTTAAATTACAAATTTTTATTTTATTTCTTTAAGCTTAAAGCTCAACGGTTAACTATTTATAGTATCATTTTGTTACAATTAATTCTTTTTATTATGATTCTATCAAAAATTTATAAAAAGTTAAATCATATATAAAGTATGAGTGGTGATTCATCCCACTAATTTTTAGACCACTAATAGCTCTAATGAGCTTAAAAAAAAAAAAACTCAAGCCAAAACATCACATCACTTTGGTGAGGGCCACTGTGCCACATCATTAGTGATGCTCTAGAACTCCCAATTTAGTGCTCTAAAACATTATTCATAAAGTATTTAACATATTTATTAAATTTTTAAGATAATAATATTTTTATCTTGTGATTTTATTTGCACTTGATATAGATGTATTATGTGTTTTATTCATGATTTAATTTTCTATAAATTTGTAACAGAACATTAATAAAAATGATTAACTGTAATAAAATAATATTCTGAAAAAATTAACTATTATGTTTTGAGTTCAGGGTGCAAAGTATAAATGGACATTGTTTAAAGAGATTTACTGTAATTTATTCTTTTTTATTTATTTATTTTTTAATTTTGGGTAAAAATAGTAAATATCACAATTTCAATATAAGTATTGTATAAATTATACTATCTTTTCATTTATTGAAATTATACTATCTTTTCATTTATTGAAACTAAGATAATCAAAATTAATACAAATAATTTGAAGGCACAAAAAATAAATTATATGAAATATACATTTTAGTATTGAAAAATGACAATATCATTAGGTGCCTGAAAGCATACAATCTGTTAAATATGTGGTTTTTTTTTTTTTTTTTTAAAGATCGGGAAGAAAATCTAAATATGTGAGGTTTAATATGTATTTTTTTTTTCAAATTTTAAGAAATAATTATTTAATAATGCTAAAAGTTACTATGTGAAGCAAATAAGTATAGATCATATCATTCATTTTGAAACAACTTGATCCCATGTATTTTTGAAAGAGATTTGAAGATGTGCAACTCAAAAGAAATCGAGCTTACAAGCATGAAATCAATATTATTCCAAATTAAATGGAGAAGAAGAGATTGTACATATTCCGCACCAGAGAAAATTGGTCTCACATATATGTTATACATCCTTCTTGTTCATACATTGAAGGAATGATGATCCTTGACGGTATATGTATATATCCTTTCTTGACTAATCTAAATTTCATATTTTTTTTTTTTTAATTTCGACTAATGAATAATTTCAACAATTGTCTACCAGAGAAAATTGTCTGCAGAAATTTTCTCTTGGTTATAAACTACCAGAATTCACAGAGAAATTTAACTTTGTATCGTCCCAAGGGATTGCCTATATGATCATGTAATCTGTAAAACTTTGTGTTTTGGTACAAAAAACATCATCAAACTCAACAAACACAAAGCACACCAATAATTTTTATCTGCCACTGGAAAAATTTCATTGCCATGAATTTCAAATTTCAGACCACAATGCCCTATAAGTTTTCTTATCTGTTGGTGAAAATATTCTCTCGGATTGAAAATTTCCTGGCTTTGACACAAATTCCCTGAGTTCAAGTTGAGTCCAGAGAAATTCTATCCTTCCTTCCGGTCCAGAAAATTCTCAACTTCAGAGAAGTTTTTTGATGCTCTGTCTGCTGTGCACATTTCTTGAAATGACTGATATGAAAGCTACAAGAAATTTACAGATAAATTTAAACTTTCTATTCTCTCACCAAAGAAAAGGTGGCTAATATGAATCATTCAATCTTCTATGCAGCTGTGTTAGTACAAAACAATTATCAAAATTTGAAAAAACACAATCCACACAGTACTTTAGTCTGCCATTGTCAATTTATGTGGATGAAATAATGGAGCTTCAAAACACAACACAGCAGAATTTTTCTCTGCCATAGGAAAATTTCTCCTGGATGAATTTTAACAGGTACTCAAACGCCACTGCCTATAGTAATATATCAACAACACCTTTAACTCATATTGAAAAATTTCTTCCTGGATGAATTGGATTGATATTATTATATACACTGTCCAAAAAAAATAATTCACAAAACAAAATACACAAATTAATCATCAAAGTATTATTCCATCAATAAAATGTAATAAATCCTCACTATTTAACAAAGGTTCCTTGCTAATGTCCTTCTTATTATGGGACCAATACTTCTCACACGACTACACTTAATCACCCATTTAAACTTCTCCAGTAGAACAGTTCTTGTTCTCTTCGCCTCCCAGCAGGTCTCTTGCGCTCAATGGAGGTAAAATCATAGCATCTTCAATGCTACAACACAGGTTTTTCAACAAGTTGGAACTGAGCAACAATCGAAAAGGAGTATGCTTGACGATACCATATCAAGCATGAAAAAAATGGTTCAAAACAATGAATTCAAATTCTTTCCACTCTTAAAATTTGCAGCAACAGCAATGTTGACATGGATCCCATTTATTTCCCATTTCGACATGAAACAAGTTCTCAACTCCAGATAACCATAATCCGAAGAAAACAATGCACTTCAAAGACATTATTCAGATGATTAAACTCACATTCCATGTCCTCCCTCCGTCCAAAAAAGACTTCTCCCAACCAGTCTATCCATACGAGGACACCAAAATTTATTATCCATTTACTAGAGAGCAGCCTCCCTATCAGACCTCATATTCATGATTTGCAACCGTATCATGATCCACGCAAATTTGTTATTGGCAAGTGCCGAGCTTCTCTATCCATGCAATTGAATGACTTAGCAACAGAATACAATCTCACCATAACGTTTCCCTGCAAAAATATGCATCACTCCAATTTTCATATTGGTAAACTTCTCAGAAAACACTCACAATGTCTCCTCTCACTGTGTTTAACTCATTAAACTTTGAAATTGAAATGATGCCTTTTGTTGGAGCAATGCACATTCTGAAAACTTGGAACACAATCGTCTCCCTAACCAAATTTGTGGTTTCCACATGACAATTATCCCTCAAATTTCTCTTTAGATGTTCCAGAAAAATCATGAAAAGCAGTTAGGGAAAAAACCTAGCAATTCCTCCACATTCCACAATGTCGATCTGAATATGGAAACTATCACCCCTTTTGATCCTAATACTCCATATAATGCTTTCAAGAAACCAACACCAATTGGTCTTTATTCCAGCATCACAACAGCAAAAGCTACCAGGGAAAAAAACCTACAAAACAAATAGGAACAAAGCATATTAGGTACAAACACATGCAGAAAAAAATAGAACAATAAATCCGAGAAAATTCACACATTGGCGAACATCCAGAGAAAATTGAATAAGTGACCAGCTACAGAGAAAATCACACAAATCATAATATACAGAGAAAATTCACTTAGTGACCACCTACAAAACAACAGAGAAAAATAGAACAATAAAACAACAAGAGAAGTTTGACACTGCCAACATCCAGAGAAAATTCACACATTGGCTAACATCCAGAGAAAATTGACTTAGTGAACCAAGCTACAGAGAAAATTCACACAATGCATAATATAGACAGAGAAAATCACTTAGTGACCACCTACAGATTATACAATTCAGCACAAAATGACAACATCCAGAGAAAATTCATACACGACAAAAATTCCATTGAAATTCTCAACAGTGGCCACAACAATAGAAAAATCCACACAGTGGCAAAACCACCGTAATTGATCAAAAACGACTCCTGGATTGTCTCAATGCCTTCATCAAAATACCCACCGTAATTTGATCAAATGGACAACAGAATCCCCATATGTACTACATTTTGCTTTTCAACACTCAACCAACCACAGTTATAACTATTGAGACCCCCATTAACTTGTCTTTCATTCCTTTCACAACATCCACTGGACGAGTTAAGGTTTTGCACTTACCACTCTTCAAAAGTATCAGCCCCAGAAAACAAGCTGGAGAGTCATCCTCGA